ATGTTCAACATTTAGCAAACATTTACAAGTTGATAATGCCATTGCTCATCTTTTTAAAACATCAACAAATCATGCACTACTTGTGGAAAAAGAAGATTGGCTCATCTACTTGTGGATATTGGTAGAAAGTAAAATTTCAACGCATTTTCTCTTCTTGTTCATCTTACAAAATTTTTTAAGTATAATTAATAAAATAAAAGTTTCAAACATACAACCACATTAAAAGCTTTCCAGTCAAAACATGTCACCAATCAAAACTTGGAAGCAGCTTTTTCTTTAGGTTTACAGGCTCTTGAACCCACTCCTACAAGCCATACAACAATAGACAATCCCTCATCCCCACATGTTTCCACTATTCCTGACCAACTTTGTACAATAAACATTTTCTACATTAATTTTGTTTGGCATTTTGTGACAGCATACACATTCCAGATTAAAATAACATCATTTGTAAATAAGACACTAAGACACTATATTAACTTTGTCTATCCTTTGTAAGCCACCCCACAATTGCTACAAAAAAAAAAAAAATAAAATAAAAAAAATTCCTTCTTGCAACCACTGCCAATGCTCCATTATGCATATATTAAATCGCTTAAATGCACACCTTTTCATGATAGCATCAAACCAATTCTTGTTGTACTTACGTCAACCAAAACATTAAGAAGTTAAAAAAATCATTAATAATGAAAATTAATGAATTTATTGTGCTCTTTAAGATTTGGGTATTATTGTTGATAAAAGTACTCACATTCAAATGCTACAACTTTAACATCAACGAAATTCTAGATCATACAATAGGCTCCAAACTCCCAAGTGCAAGAAATGATGACAACAAAAGTAAAAGAAAATCTCGGATAAAATGAAAACAAAAGAAAATGCTACAAAAAAAAATGTATTGTGTGAAGTAAACTATAAAAATCAGAATAAAGATAACTACCATAAAAGCAAGTAGTAGTTAAGAAAACACCACTTCAAAAATATAAAAAAAATGTTTACTTTGGAAAGGAAGTGGACATGTAAGAACCAGCGATGAATTTACAAGTACTTAAAACACCATCAGATCTATACAGATTTCCCTTAAAAAAATTATCATCATTCAATACCAAATATCATATCATAATAGAGAAAAAAATACAATTTACGAGCATAGACCCTCAATTCTTCTATGGATGGTTATAGAGCATAGGTGAGTAACCATAAACAAAAATCACAAAGAACTATAAATAAACTCTCATTCAAATCAGCTTAAATAAGTGTACCCCAATGAGCACACAATGATACAGAGCTTATAAAACACATCGAGCAATCGACTTTGACATTGCAACCAAAAAAAAAAAAAAAAAAAATAGAAGTTCCGGAAATCACCAAAGTAATGCAAATCATTGAAAAAAAAGAGAAATTTTCCAATTCTATCGAATCATACGTTTAATACACTATTTAAAATAATTAAAAGTTAATAACTTAAAAAGAACACTAGATTTTCAAGTGTACTTTCAACATCATCATTAAACGTATTTCCAATAGTGTTCCTTCATAAATTATCATTCTCCATTTATTCTTACTTAATCTTGGACAAGGTGTTAAAACTATTTTGCATAAAATCTATTTGTGTAAATTCAATCCAAGTAACTTATTGATCTATCCATTCTTTTCATATTCCTTCAATATTTATTTTAATATCTTATTGTGCACCCTCTACCCCATGTTATGCACTCCGCAAAAAACTTAAATTAATTTTCACTACTTTAACTCAATAGATGCTAGTCTCACCATCCTACGAACATAATAAATTTTCAAACTCTTTAATTGAGAGTAAGTCTATCTTCACATTCACATTCTTGTCTTGTTCAACTAACCTATCAATAAATGCATTACTATTCAACATTTTAAATCCAAAATCCATAGCAATCCAAGTTGTATTTTATATATTTGACATTTAATCTCCATGATGATATTCTCTCATCTCAAATTTCTTGCGACAAGTCTCTTTATAAACAACAAAACTAGAAATTTAGAAATATTACCATCATCAATAAATGCTTGATTAAATACAATACATACAAGATAATTAAACATATCACATCCAAATATAACTATCATCTATAAATATTGACAAAATATGAAATCTAATTAAATTATTTTATATGCTAAATGCAATTTTTGCTCTATTAATCCTAGGGTATTTATCATCAAAACTTCTCCATTATTTTAAAGTTTAATTTATATAAATAAGAGATTCATTGATTAAAATGGCATTTCAAGCACATTATGCCAAAACATCTCACTTTGAACATTCTTAGTAAACATTTGTATAACTAATAAAAAAAATGTAATTAATATTGATCCTAATTGCAACTTGTACATAAAAAAAAACGCATTGATCACTTCACAACTAATTTGATAATAGTGTATCCTCTACATTACATATCTTTAATAATCCTAATATATCTTCACACAAATATTTATTTTCCTAATAACGCACATCAAATGAGTTAGCATGGTACGTGGTCATATGCAAGCTTAAGATTACAAGAATTTATATGAACATTACATGTTTTGCTCACTATAGCTTTCCATTAACTACCATATCATAAATTCCATAACAAAACTTCATGGTATTGTATAAATCAAAAGTTAGAATGCCCTATAATTTAAAATTCTTGAATCGATATTATTGTTGAATATTATCGTCAAGATGCTGCTACAATAATTTGGTATCTTTCTAGCCATCAAACTTTTATTTAACATATTTATTAGCAAACTACTCCAATATTATTTGCAAGTCCCAAAACTTCAACATATATTTCATCTACAGTTGATGCTTCATTTCTATGCATCTTCATCAAGGTTAAATGCACCATCTTATAATATAACTTATCAATCATGATGATTAGTTGCAAAAACATCTATTCCTTAAAACTCTCAGTTAACAATTTTCCAACATAAAATTTTCCTCTTTGATGTCTTTATTTCAACAATGATCTAACTTACATCACTTATAACACTTTTGAAGAGCTTAGCAAACTACTCCAATATCATTTATAAGTTCAAAAACTTCAGCATATATTTCATCTACAGTTTATGCTTTATTTCTCCGCATCTTCGTGAAGGTTAAATCCACCATCTTGTTATATAAATCCAACATCTTATAATATAACTTATCAATCATGTTGATTAGTTGCAAAAACATCAATTCCTTATTACTTTAATTTAACAATTTTCCAACATAAAATTTTCCTGATGTCAAGATAATACTTTCATCACTTAATACATATAACGCTTTCGAAGACCTTAGAATCCTTGTCCATTGGCATGGCTAACAAATCATCAAAAATACAATAGCTGTACCAGTCAACCATTTCATTTCACCATACCCAACATGCAATGCATAATTGAAGATTTTTTTAAAAGGAAGTTCCATTGCGAAAGAGTGAAAATTGATAAAGAGACACACTGGGAGATTTGCAAAAACATGCAGTACTGTGAGCGTACAAACCACAATGTCAGTTACATCGGTCTTGATGGAAGTTTTAATTTTATGAGCACAAAAACATATGGTCCAGGTGAGCTCTCGGCTCATCTTATAGAAAATATAAACTAATAGCTCTCAAGTCCAAGCAGTAAAACAGTTAAATGATTTATTTATTTATTTATTTTAGTTGATTGTTAGAGAGATGTTTCTCAGTTAATTGGTTATTGAGAGATGAGCTGGTCAAATTTTGATGAGATTTAAGAAAAACTGGGTGAGGTGGGAGAACTATAGAATGAAACGGTGGATGCAGGGGCTCGAAAGGGAGAGGCTTTAAGGATAGAATGAATATTGAGGGGAGGGATGCAAATTAGCCGAGCATTTCCAAAAACTACTCGTGCTCGATTTGATAATGTTCATTGATATTCGTTTGTTTAACTAATCGAACAAGTTAGAAAAAGAACAAACAAACATGAATTTAAATGAATTTAGCTTGAACACTATCACAAAAGCTAGAAAAGCTCAAGCTGAGATTGCATTTCCTTTTGGTAAGTAAGTTCAAACTCGCGCTGAGAAGATTTTGGTTTTGGTTAAAAAATTCAAGCTCAAAAAGCCTTCTTACTCTGCTAGTTTTGTTTGCATCCCTAATTCGAGGGCCGATAAGGAATAGGGGAAATAGCCATAGATTTCAGTTAACACTTTCAAGATTTTTTACTTTGATTCTAATTGATGTAAAGGCAACATTTTCTTTGCTTTTCACATAATTTTCTTCAAAAAAAGTTGCTCTATGGACTAAAATAATAACAAAGGCCCATGAAAAAGTTTCTGTAAGCTTATGAACGTAAAATTTTAAAAAATTGAAGTTGTGCCAAATGATATAAAGAAGGCAAACACTGAAATTTATTACAAGAATGCATGCATGATTTTTTTTTTTTTTGGCAACCACAATTAACAAAAAAGAAAAGTAATGTGGAAAAATATTGCAACGCAAATGAGTCCAAATAAGGCACCACATAATTGATTACAAGTACAAAAATAATAATATACAGCAATAATATTGAAATACAAACACTGAAGAAAGAAGCATAAAAACAATTGTGCAAAAGTGCGCAGTCATAAGAAAACTGAACATAAGATCCAATAAACAATCAAAGACAAAGCTTGGAGATCGAATCCTTCATGGTTCTAAAGAAGCTCAAATAGATCCTATTGTAGAATGACAAGCCTTTAAGCTTTGCAACATGGCTATTTTCACAGGACCAGAAACTTGTGATAATTATACAACAAGAAAGATAGCACTCTCACCACTTAACACGACAAGCAACCCAAAAAACTTTTCTAGGAAAATTTTACAATGGAATTTAAAATGCAAATTAAATATGCAGAACCTAAAATCAAGATTCCAACAATTTATAAATTTTAAAAATAAGGCAATCATCATAGCGCAACCACTAAAAAGAAAAACAATTATGTAAAGTTGATGTATTAAAATGTGAAAGCATTTATCAACACGTATAACAGAACATACCTTTTTCTCGCTCCACATCCGCTAGTTTTGGATCATAATATTCTTGTTGTTCAGCTTCTTTCTTAGCCCTTTCTGCGTCATTTAACTTCTTCAATGTATCAGGGTTGCGATGCTCAGTCAAGGCTTTCTGGAAGGTTTCAATAGCAGGTTCATAATCCTTGGAATACTTGGCCATTTTAACAAGTGCGGATCCCTTCCTAGTCAAGGCCCTTGCAATCATTTTGAAGTCAGAATGAAGTTCACGGCCCCTCTCGACAGCTTTGTCACAGTCAGCTATACAATCTTCACACTGAAAACGAAAATTAGCATTATAAATAAATACAGAAAAGAGGAAAAATCAACTAACAAAAAATAATGCTTTTTTCACATAAACCTGAAAGGTAAGGCTCATAATCCAACATTTACATGGGAATATAAATATCCATATCACAAAGTGGAAACTTGTTCTTAAATCTGCCACGAAATTTGTTCGAATATGTCAACTCTTAGTTGTAGCCAATATGGAATGCATGTACACATAAAAAATTGTAACCAGAGAAGCTCATTAACACATAAGCACAAAATTTTGCATAATTATCAAGTAGAGTAATGAACATGCATATGTTGTTCTTTTCCACATATCTACAATAAATGGCGAACTAGCTTTTCAAATGATTTTGAGACAAATTTAAAGAATAGTAACTTTTTCAAATCTCTTAAAAGAGATACTTTTTTATGATTCATTCATTTGTTTGCATCTACTAGGTAATATTATGCTATCACGTAATATAAAATTTGGTTTATTAATATCTTTAGATAATTAAATATTAGAATAATATATCAGCCATGATTTGCTCACAAAATAGAATTTCGCCCATATCGAACAGCATCAAGATGTCAACATATTTAAACAATTTGCCAAACACATTGTTCAACAGATACTTGTTACTCGAACACAAAACGTAGATAAAATAATGATTCTAACATTAAAACAAAATAAAAAAAAAAAAAAAAAACTGGATGAAACATAACTTAGAAACCCCTTGTTAATTCTAGGAATTTCCATCTATTCAGAGTTCAAAGAAGAAGAACAATGAGTCAAACAAGTTGGTTTACTTCTAGTGCAAGAGAACAATGACATGAATCCATAGAATCCAACAAACACACGTATACAGGAATTTAAATACTTCAATCTTGTGACCAAGAAATATACAAGGTAAAATAATCTAGAAGTCCCCTTTTTTCCCCTCAATTTCACTATATATAATTCAAACAAAGACATTGTACGCATTTAGTGGTATAATGTTGATGTATAATAATCCCTTGCAGCACTTGATGTTCAAAACATGTTGGGTTGAAACATTCACCAAATAATGTTCGATGAATGCTCGTAGTAATGCTAAGATCGTTACAGTGCATGAGTGGAATTGTAACGAAATTCAGTAAGTTTAGTAGAGCAATATTCCTCAACCTAATAAATTGATTCTTGAGAAAACCGAGCAGCAACAAAATCAATTCAAATTCATTTCAAGTTATTATTCAGCAATTAGGGCCAAGGAAGCTGAGTAGCTTGATCATAGAACACATGGATGGCGATGGTTCAATAATCATAGTTGAAATATGAATCTCCAGTTGATTCAACAAATGCTAGAGAAAATAAATTTGGCACTACAAACCAAATACCAAGGTTTAAAAACCCGAACTGGACAGGCCGGTTTGATCAGTTCGACGGCAAATTGGTGGTTGGTCTTACCCGAATCACATAATAGACCGTTTCTGTCATTGAACGGAAGAAAACCGGCCTAACCGCTGGTTCAACTAGGAAACCGGTAAACTGGTTACCTCTTTTGAAAACCGCAATATTACTTTATATTTTTTTATCGTTGGTTCTTATATATATATATATATATAGAGAGAGAGAGAGAGAGAGAGGGAAGGGGCACTGGAGGAGAGAGAGAGCAGAGGGTTATGAGGACATGTGCTTACAGAGTAAAGCAAGCTTTTTTTTGTGGGAATATTAAAAAGTTTTTGAGAATAAGGTTGGCTGCTCTTAGGGAAGAGATCTGGCTCTGTTATAGATGTACTCAACGATTTGCATTACTACGTATTTGTTTTAACTTGAAAATTTGTGATTGTATATTACTTTATTTTTTTATACTTGTCTTATTATATTATTATTATATTACTTAGGTCATATATAATTATTTATATAGTTATTAAATCATTCAGTTCAACCCCAATCAAACTAATAAATCTTAAACATTTTCTTCTTTCGGATTGATGTCCGGTCCAGTTTTTACAACCTTGCCAAATAAACCTCTTTATAAGGGAAGTGACAACCTAGAGAGTCTATCCTATAAAAATAAAATAATAAATAAAATAAATAATACAGAGAGTCTATTCCATCTCCTATTTTTACTCCCATCCATGAAAAAATTAAACTGGACAAGAAAACAATTCAATAGGATTCCTTAAGAAATCTAATGTCATTATATATAGTCTCGAAAGGTTGTCACAAACTAAAGCAATGATTGTCTTTACTAATTCAAAAGACAAGATATCAAATGACATAGATTTTGAATATGTTATGCTAGAGTATGATCATCATTATCCCGCACTGTATCCAGAAAATCTAGTTAATTGTAAGAATGATCTGTTGATGATGAAATGTTAGATCCAAGAACACAATGACAAAAAGAAATATGAACATGTTCTTTAGCTCAAGAACAGATTAAGCAATTGACAGCCACCATGGCCACTTCGATGGCCCAAGTGGCTTCTTAACTAACAACAAAAGCAACTGCTAGCATGGTCCATATTATTGAGACTTCACAAGTTGATGCTCAGTCAGCACTTCAATTAGCTCCTGCATCGCATATTCATGTAGTACAACTAGCTCCCTACTATTTTTTTCTACAAATACATTTAAGATGCTCATATTAGATCTATGATAGAGAAGTTAAATCTACAATGATATCTAAGCTAGTGGAGGCAACATTGAAAAAATAAAATCATTCAAATCTAGAAGAATATGAAACAATCCCTTGTAAACCTTCCAACCTATAGTCAATTTAATGAGGGTAAGAAACAGTAGATAGCATATTGCTCCATATAAAGCTTTAATTATAATATTGAAAACTAGTCTTGTTGCCTCACCCTTTTGTTACATCATTGGCTAATATTGCTTTGGAATGACATGTATGAATACCCTATGTATCTTTCAAAAACCTTCATAAAATTGAAGTTTTAATTAAGAGATTCTATGTTGTGCACCATCACTTTCCGATACATGACTTGATGTTAATATCGCAAAGGCCAAATGGATTTCATTTTGTAATGCCTAAACCTGTTTATGAAGTGTAAGTTGCATCTACAATAAGCATGCCGCTATTAAGTTGTTTATTGATAGGATTACAGGTCGTGAATCTATAATATTGAAGTTACCATCCATCAAGACTTTTGAAAAAATTTAATGGCTATCACTTTTTTAAATCCAACTAGAGTTGTTGCCTATATAATGAAAACAAAAAGCATAAATGATTGGTTCTCTCATGCTATAAATCTTGTGATGGTTTATTATTTATATGAAACTCTGAAAATTTTTAGTTTATTAAAACTTGCCTATTCTAAAAGCCTATAAAGCAAGCTCGAATTTCATTCGATCAATATTCAAACAAAGTTCCAAACCAAACTTAAGCCATGTATACAAACAATTCGATTGAATTTTTCAGAATGCAATCACAACAGAGCGCAATCACAACTAACAATTATAACTAGCATGATAGGTTTGATCAAGGTTTAATCATATTCAATTGAGGTTAAAATAAAGTTCAAAATAGCTCCAAACATGTTTGATTGAGATATAAACAGGATTCAAACAAGGTTGTAACAAGTTTCTAACATGTTCAATCTCAATGTTCGAAAATAAAGTTCAGTGAGATGGAGCAATTTTTTTCATGATAAAATTAAATCAAATAAAGACAACCAGTTTTTCGTTCAACTTTAAAACTTTTGTTGGTTGAAAAAGGAGAATTCATCTCCAAAACCACCTAGGCTTTATCAAGATTGACTTTAATTTCTTTTAGAGATATAATTTTGCCAAGAAAGGCTCCTTTTGAACCTAAAAACATTGTAATGACAACATAGAAGTCAATATGATGAATATAGGCCCTTTTCCCTTGATAGAGACATCATGGATGCATATCTTCAAACTTCCTCCTAATGTCAAAATATGTTATCTATTAAAGTAACCACAACTTGGAACATAGGTTAATTTTGGATTTATGCTAGAGTTATGCAGGGCAGGTCTACCATGGAAGCTATACATTTATTGAGAGGTTTGATGGAGAAGTTCAGAGATAATAAGGAGGATCTACATCTGATTTTTAGTGATTTCTGATTGATCTACATCTGATTTTTAGTGATTTAGAAAAAAGCTTACAATAAGGTTCCAATAGGTATCCTTTGGAGAGTTCTTGAGAAGAAAGGTGTTGATATGACTCATATTCAAATAATTAAAGATATGTATGCTAGAGTTGTTACTTGTGTTCGAACTGAACGATGATTGACCATATATTTTCCTATTTCTGTTAGATTACATCATGGGTTGGCTTTAAGCCCATATCTTTATTCTTTAGTTATGGATGGTCTTACTAGACATTTACAGGAAGATGTACCTCGGTGTATGTTTTTTGCTTGATGACGAGAGAAAAAAGATAGTCTTACTGGACCTATATTCATCATATTCTTGCCCATTCTTGAAAGGTGTTGAAAAAAGATTGTCTACACTCCTGTAAATGTACGGTTAAGTGGGGTAAGTATGATCAGCCCATATTTTTGTTATATCCTTCTCGTGGATAAGACGAGAGAAAAAAAACCAGGAAAACTTGAATTATGGAGGTCTACATTGGAGTCTCAAGGCCTTCATTTGAGTAGAACTAAAATTTAAGCATGGAATGTAATTTTAGTAGTAGTAGTTCTAGTGACAAAAGTGTAACTTTGAGTGATCGAATTATTAAAAGGTGTGAGCGATTTAGATATCTCAGGTCTGTTGTTCAAAGTGATGGTGATATAGATAGGGATGTTAATGGTAGAATTCAAGTTGGAAGTTGGTTGGTTGTTGGTTGAAGTGGAGGAATGCTTCAAGACTTTTGTGTGATATGAAAGTACTGCTTAAACTAAAAGGAAAATTTTATAAGAGAGTGGTGAAACTTACGGTGCACTATGGCGCTGAATGTTGGCCTTTAGAAGAAAAGAATAATACTAAGTTAAGTGTTTCCGAGATGAGAATGATTAGGTGGATGAGTGGCTTTATACTTAGAGACAAAATGCAAAATGATTATATCTGTGATAGGGTTGGTGTAGCTCCAGTGATGGACAAAATCAGAGAAAGTCATCTTAGATGGTTTGGTCACATTAAACGTCGACAATTTGATGATCCGATTAGGAGAGTAAATGTTTTAGATTCGTCTTATGTTAAGAAATTAAGAAAGGCAGAAAGAAAGGCAGAGGTAGACCTAGAAAGACTCTCCAATGATTAGGCCTCTCCAATGGTTAGAATGTCTAAACATTCAAATTCTATGAAAGTTGACAAGTTTTGTTTAAACTAAAAAAATAACAATTTAGGAGGAAGTAATGGATTGATTTACCACATAAAATCCATTATCAAGCTGCTTCAAAACAAGCTTACTGATTAATTGCTTCAATCCAACTGATCATACTTACCCCACTTAACCATACATGAATATGATTGTTTGACAAGTTTCAGTTGTTCTGTCACTCATCTAAAGTGCCCTTCAATAATTAATTTCTCAATAAGGGTAGATGTTTTAGGTCGATGATTAGGCCTCTCCAATGGTTCGAATGTATAAACATCCAGATTCTATGAAAGTCGATAAGATTTATTTAAACTAAAAAAATAACAATTTGGGAGTAAGTAATTGATTGATTTAGCACATAAAATCCATTATCAAGCTGCTTCAAAACAAGCTTACTGATTAATTGCTTCAATCCAGCTGATCATACTTACCCCCCTTAACCGTACATTGAATATGATTGTTTAGCAAGTATCAGTTGTTCTATCACTCATCTAAAGTGCCCTTCAATAATTAATTTTATAATAAGAGCCTTCATACAAATCTTAAATATTGTGATCATTATCACCATAGTAAAAATGGTTTACCCATCTCTTCTCAAGGGCCCTTCTAATTAGGTAAGACCACATAAGGTAGGCCTTATTTTAAATCACCATCATCATTGGTGAAATTGGAAGGCTCAATGACGAAAAAAGATTTTTTTTTCCCTAGGAAGCTAACCAAAATAAAATGATTGGTACATTTTTTTAGTAACACTATTTAAGGTGAGAATCTATTCAACTATTAAATTGTTCAACAAGTTTTGATCGAGATGATTGCCCATTCTACTTATTCTCTTTGTATAAGTGGTTGTTAAAGAAAATTCGTTAAGAATAATGTTCTCCAAATTGCATTTTCTAATGCTTCTTGCAACAGATCAATCATAATCATTAGAGAGTTCTAAGCAATAACAAAAATATGAAATGAAGGTCTTTAACCAATGACTAGTGACACTTAGCTATAGAAGGATGAACGTTGATGACAATATGAGTCCCGAAGTGAATTTGTGATGTATTCATTTGCCACTACACAAAAATATTGCCTAATTTCTTCTTCTCTTGCAATCAAGTAATCATTTGATGGGAAAGTCTTCAGCCGAAAGGCTTGTGTTGCCTTGTCTTCACCAAGTATCAGCATGAAAAGTCATTATGAGTTGCTTGAGCAAATTTTTTTATTTTTTTTTCCCTTAAAAAATATCTTTCTCTGGATGTAAAGGCGTGTCTTAGATTTTCAACAGCCTGTAAGAGCTTGAAAACTGCACAATGAATTGACTCCTTAGTTAGCCAAAAGAATAATTAGGTTTTTGAGTAAGTCCAAAGAACCGCATCCAAACAAAATATTTCTGTGTTGCTAATAACAATAGACATTTTATTCGAATCAGAATCAAATTATAGCATCATAAAAAAGGAAAAAAAAAATCTGAGAGATTTGTTCGGCCCCTCATTTATCAAACTGACACCTTTCTTCAAAAATTTTAAGAGCGTGATATGATTTTTATGCTTAATTTTTTTAAAATTTATCATATATTTTTGAATGAAATTATATTTTAAAGAAATGTTATTTTCATGTTTAATTTTCATTTATTTTCATGTTTATCTTTTAGGTATAACATTTGGAGCAAATTGAAGATGAAACGTGTAGAAACAGAGGAAAACGGAAGCAAATCAGGGATGTTGCCAACATGCTGGGGCCTATGCGCCACGCCTAGGCGCCAATTTTCACCCAGAAAACAGAAAATACGATGCCTAGGCGCCCACACTATCCAATGGCGATTTCTTCAATGATTGTGCACGAATTTGGAGATATATTCACAAAAGAATAACTGGAGAAGAGACTTTTCGGCATTTCTAAGTCCTGAAATTCTCCAAGAAGGCTGAGAAGTCATTGATAGGACTTGGAAATGTAAGTTTTTTCTATTTTTTAAAGAGATTGTAGAGGGAATTTTGAGAGATAACTATGAGAAGTGGTATTAGCATTGCATTGATTAGTAGGAGACTTTGTTAGAGGGATTTTTATCTTTTTTTTAGAGGGAAAACTAAGTATTGTGTTATTCAGTATTTAATACTTATTGTAAACATATATTTAGTGGATTTATTTTGATTCAATAAAGTTTTAAAGAGATTGGAGAGAGAATTTTGAGAGATATCTATGAGAAGTGATATTAGCATTGCATTGATCAGTAGGAGATTTTGTTAGAGGGATTTTTATCTTTTTTTAAGAGGGGAAAAGCTAAGTATTGTTTTCTTCAGTATTTAGTGCTTGTTGTGAACCTATATCTAGCGGATTTGTTTCGATTCAATAAAGTTTTTTGTGGTTTCAAACAAGCTTTGTGAGTAAAAATTTCTGCACTTTTCTCTTGTGATTGTTAAGTAGAACTTATAGAATGTTGAATGCTATGAAATTCGTTTTTCTTATTTTAATATGATGGTTTTTACTTCATACTTCATTTACATATCGATCTAGTCATTTGGTATATTAAAAATTGTTGTAAACTCATAAGATCAGGGAGGGCAATGACTTTAACAACTAAGAGGAATCACATTGAACTTAAGGGTAAAGAAAAAAGTCCAAATATTTAATACAATGTTAGAGGGATATTCATTGATTTAGTGTAGATTGGTGTTTCTAGGGTGACATGTTAGATTCCTACCAATTTGATCTAGGGCTTCGTACCTTAAATCTAAGATTGAGTCAATTAGAGGGTTATTAGAAGAAAGAAATTATAGAGTGACAAACTAGAAGTTTTACCGTGACAATTTAGTTATTTTAAAGAATTGACCCAATGTAAACTAAGCTACATTATACACTCGGAAAATGGTAACTTAGATTTTTGTTCCTATTGTCACTGGCTACATTAAATTCTAAGCATCACATTCATACACATTACCTATGTAATCACAAGAGAAATGTAATTTTTACACAAAATTCACCAAACCAATTCATCTAATTATGTTTAAATTTAGATTTAGGTTTGTATTGAGGATTAGTTGTTAGAAAAACACCCTTAATCGACATTCTAAACTAAAAACTGATAGTAGTAGACTATAACTTATCCTCAGTGATTTCTTACCTCACTTCTTTGTGGGATCAATAATCGAGACTCCATTAGAACCCCTTATTACTTGAACGATATGTATACTTGCGTAAAACCTCTAGTATGTAAACTATAAATCAAATTCTAAACTTTATAACATGTTTATTTTGCACGCTAACAACCTAAAAAACTAGGTCAAGTGTTTTTGTGAGGAAACTAAATAACTGTGTAACTGCAGATCATGTCAGAGTGCACGTCAAAAAAGACAGCAAATCATTATAATGTGGAGCTTTCAAGTTAATGATAACAAGATGTCTCTTTCCCATATCAAATGTTCATACTATGGCTATTGGTTGAATAGTTATAAGATAAGATCATATGTTTTGGTCACGTGGATGAAAAAAATATATGTACACAGCTAAACAATTGGTATTCAAGTTATATCGGGAGAAGTGGTCAGAATTGGATTCAAACTCTCTCTAATGCGTTGTGCAAAATCATTAGTTTCATTTAGAAATGGAGGGAAGTATGTATTTTATTGGCAGGTTAGCAAGTGTGGTGGAGAGACATTCATGATAAACCTAAAATTAAAACAATAGTCATGAATTAAATGCTGATAAAAAATAACGGGCAAAAACAAAATACTAGAGTTACAGTACCTTCCCCATCTCCAAATAAACAGCAGCCCTATTAGTCAGAAAAGAGATGTCTTCGTCATCAAGCTCCATCGCTTTAGTATAATGTTTGATCGCCGCCTCAAAATCCTTCTTTTTATAGGCCGCGTTTCCCGCTTCCTTCTCTTTCTGAGCTTCTGCCTTTCTTTGCTTAGCTTCTTTCTCGTCATCCGTGAATTCCATAGGTTCCGGTTCCGGCTCCGTTTTCGGCGGCGACCTACTTCTTGTCTCAGCCTGCGGCTTTCTCCTCTCAGGCTCGGGAAAGTCACTTTCCATCTCATCCCGGTTAGGATCCCGCATTTTCACATTAAGCAAAACCCCAAGCACTTGCATCATCCTCTGGTCCTGAAGATACAAATTGAGGTTATTAGGGTTCTTCTGAACCTCCTGGAGCATCTTGACAAAATCTGGCTGCTGTAGATACGCCCTTGTAGATGGATCAGCGGTCAACTTAGCCCAAACCTCAGGGCCCTGAAATATATTCCCGAATGGAGAAACTGCTGGTTTCCGGGACCGCGCGGCTGCCGCTTTAGCCTCCGCGTCTGCGAGTCCCGACTTGAGCGCTTCGTTGCTGGGATCGAGATCGAGTCCCTTTTGGTAAGCAGCAATAGCCTCGTCATGGTTTCCGAGACCAATATGAGCGGCACCAAGCCGGCTGTACCCTTTCGACCAATCGGGCTTGACCTCAACGGTCTTGCGCGCGTCCGCGAGTGCCTCTGCGTAGCGTTGCAGAGAGGCATAGGCAGCAGAGCGGTTGGAATAGAGGACATGGTTGGTAGGAGCAAGATCAATCGCTTCGGAGAAATAGCGAATTGCTTCTTCGAAACGGCCAGCCGAGAAGGCCGCGTTACCTTTAGCCTTCGCTTCGTCTGCCATGGGAGAGGAAAGCGAAAGAAGACAGACAGACTGCAGTAGATCGAATTGTCGAATTGGAGAAAGTCGAGCTTTTGTGGTTTTGCAAGAGGGTTCTGGATTCCAGGCGAGACCGTTCTGGAATGTTCTTTCGTCGAATGTAGAAAGGGATGCCTAATTTGTTTCATGGGCCATCATTTTTCCTTTTGAAGTGAGGCCCAAAAGAAAAAAAAATTAAAGTTGATCAAAAGGTAATTGTAGAATGGGAAAAATATTAAGTGTGGTTAATATTTTATTAAAATTTATTTTATGAGTTTAAATTTATTTAAAAATAAATATAATATAATAATTTATTATTCATTTATTACAATTATCTTAAATTTTCTTAAATAAGCTTAAAACTTATTATTAAATTTTGATATGGGGATTGATTAAATTTTTCATCTCATATAGATGGAAAAAATAATAATAAATATAAAAGATATTTTTGATATGATATTTAAGACGCAAATGAAGTATAGGGTCATATTTGATATAGAGGCTCTTTTATGTAATTTATAAATCGTTACATTTTAAGAAATATTGATATGAAAAAAGTCTTAAATGTTCAAAGTAATGCCTAACATGTTACTCTAATTTGTGATGATTTTTTAATGGCAATTAGTCTTTAACTTCTATAAGCATGTGTGTGGAATAGATATTATGAAAAACAACAAGAAAAGTTTTGATTTAGATCTCATTAGTTATTGTAATTAAATAAGATGTCTTTATTAAAGTTTTTTTTTTATCAATTTAATAGTTGTGGGGCGATGGATTGATTATGAGTGATTAGTTGAATATTTGATATTATGGGATAATGATTGAGTGACTAGTTAACTAATACATCAATCCTTTGTAGGATGTCACTAGTTGAATATTTGGGAGACATTGTGCAATAAATTTTTCGTTGTAGGATGACGACATCAACTGAGGTTGATAGGTGGAAGACAAATCAAGGCCTTATGAGCAGCAAATTAATTTGTGGATGTTGGTTAGCGAATATCCATCAAGAAATATTAGTTTTAAAATATTGATCCAATATAGCATGACAATTCATAAATATTATATGGTAGATGTAGTAAATGATAAAGGTGAATACTTGCATTAAAAATGAGATTTTAGTCAAAAGATATCAATTGACTACAAATAGTAGCTGATGTTGGTCAAAATATGATGTATCTAAAGAGTTTTTGTAGTGGCTTTGAAAGTAGTTAGAATTTCAACAAGAAGCTATCCATGAATTAAATGCATATGCATAAATGGAAACAAATGTCATAATTTGTGGGTCTATCCAATCCTATTAATGAGAGGAGATATAAGAAGATCATGATTAGCTTGCTATGTAATAACTAGGAGGTAGTTGGTTATTACGTATCTTAAAATTATGTGTCTTAGTTCAACGAAGTTAATAATATTCAAGACAAAATGTGCTTGAATATTAAATGAAAATGTCTTGTTAAGTGTGTTATTTTAAAGATTTATCTCGATTATGTGTCTTAATTCAACAAATGTGCTTGATTATTATGACTTATCTTGCCAATTAGATTTATCTTGTTAAGTGTGTTCTCTTCAATAAAAATTTGTTGGAATAAAAAATAAGAGGGTCTCTAAAATAAATTTGAAATCTTTTTATTACATTTTGAAAGATTAATAGATTAGAAAACAATAAACAAAAAAAAAACATTTTTTGATCAAGTCCATTTTGTGAGCCATATCAATTCAATTATTGAAGCAATTAGTATAAACCCTAAAGCAAAATACGACAAAAAAAAAAAAAATTGGATTCATAAATAAAATAAGGTAAATCCTAGTAAGTTTGGCATGCTTAAGTTCAGCTCTCTTGATGCCATATAGAGTTAAATTCAAAATAAAAGGCTACCTATTTTAATTATTGTTCGCTGTAAACCCTTCTATGACATGATAATATGATATTTTATAGCAAAAAAATTTAAATTTTGATGATGAATGTTATGATTTTGAAGGATTGACAACTATAAACGAATATTTTTGTTATGAGTTAATTAGAGACACATGGACAATGAAGTGTACTCGTGAAAAAAATAAATGAGGTGGAGCAAGAAAAAAAATCGACCTACCTAAATTACTTCCTAAACATAGTAATAAAATATAATAGATTTGTTAAAAGCTCTATATATTGATTTTTAATAAGAGAAAACCTCCATTATGAACTTTATACAATTGCAAATCATTAATATTTCCGTATTATGGAGAGAAAAGATGCAAGAAAATGAGAGGGATGGGTGGTAGAATCACAATGATAAGAATTTCATATCTCAACATGCAAACTTAAAAGCCTACAAATTGCCTAAACAAAAGGGGATCTAAGTAGATCACGTTGGCTAATGAGCATATCTTGGATGTATTCAAAGTATTAAAGAGTGATAATCATATGTTGGGATAATATAGAGCTAAGAATGATAGAAGGAAAATTGAGTGGGCATAAGGTTGATAGCCATAAATATATCATTTATAAAAAGAGTATTGCTAGATATATGGTTGATCTATGTCAATGGGTGGCATGTAATTAACATGCATTGAGGTGGATAAATAATAATGATTATTGGTGTGATTGAACATTATCAAGTTCAGTCAACAAGAGTCAAACAAGAGGAGCAAATGTGAGAGTTGGCAATAGTAAGTGAGGAACTGAGTACCTTTGAAAGTAGCTTGAGCGTTGGCAAGCATAATGGACAAAATTTAGCTAAGCATATGTGTTATCGAGTTGGAGCTAAGCGACATGTGTCGACAAGTTAGACCAGGGTAGTGAAGGCTTTGTAAATAATAAAGATCATCATCAATTTCAACATCTCCTAAGCAAGCTAGGTACACTTCATTAAGTGAATGAGATCTTATAAGACTAACACTTCATTAGATGCCTAAGAAGTTGGCAAGTTTGAAACATGAGTCATCACAATGAGCACTGTAATTTAATGAGGCCACTATAGTAATAAAGAGCGATGTCATCTTTATTGACTAGAGATCATTTGAATTGGTTTCAAAATCAAGAACACTACTAGGGGTTTCAAAATCTGAAGTATCATTTAAAATTAATCTTGTTCGAATTGTGCTCGTGTTCGAACTAACTTGAAAATAGTTTGTACGTGTTAGACTCAAAATATTTTTTTGGGTTCATGTTCGGCTCATAATTTTTAAGAAAATTAAAGTAGTCATTTTGGTAGAAAAAACTTGTACATTTAATATTTTTGTTTGGCTTATCTCATGAATTAAAAACATTATTAAATAAATATTTTTATCAAAAAAATTAAGAAAATTGTTTTTTTTAACTAAATTAGTTGGAATTTTCTTAATGAGAAAGCTTAAATTGTGAACGTAAGAAATTTTTCTCGGAACATGAGTGGCAAGCCAGAGAATTCTCGATGTGGGACTAAAAACTAGCATGACACATGATTCGTTGGTTTCGAAAAGCTCACGAAGTAAAAAAAAATTATTTAATTTTTAGAGATATTTGCATACATGAGACTCAGCTTATATTTTTTTATTGTTATGTCACTCAAATAATTTTAAAAATAATAAAAGTTAACATCATTTAAAAACATAAAAAATAATATTATATGGACATAAATAAACATTTTTATCTAATTATTTCTGAACTAACTAAGCCCAACACGAATGAACAAACATTTATTCGTGTTCGGTTCGTTTATAAATCGAGATCAAAAAAATTATTTTTGTTTGACTTACTTGCTTAACGAACAAGCCAAACACAAGCTGTTCAGAAACGACAAGTTTTTAATCGGCCATAGCCACACTTAAAAGTGAAGCTCCTCACAAAACAAAAGCATAATCTTTCACACGAGCTAAACTATAACAGCTTCCATGCATAATTTCTTACCCTTGAAATATTTTAAAGTCATAGCCATATAAGTTTCAACCAACACATCTGCAAATGAACTGTAAAGCTTTATTACAAGAGCTTTAAATATTGAAACCATTTGTGCACATAATTGAAACAATGTGAATACATAATTTTGCTTTCATTTATTTACACAGCTTTCCCAAGAGTTTTAAATAAATTTGGAAGATTTACATATCTAACACCAAAAATTTAATTTTTACATAAATGCGATATTCCCTAACAATGAAAAGGTGCATTCCACTTTTTAAAAATTAAAATGGTGACATTTTTTATTTGATAAGGAGGATTTGGATGATATAAATGTAAATATTAAGGTTTTGAGTGTTAGAAATGTAAATACATAAGAATTGGATGGTATGTACATAAATACCCCAATAAATTATTTAGATTCCCATAAGAAGTATTATTTGTACACATTGGAAAGATTAACCCTCAAACACAAGGAAAAATATTACATGAGGACTCCTACGTAGAGCTACGGTCGAAACTCACTGATATGCGGACACGTCGCTTCAAGGAAACATGCACGTTTTCCTGTAATCCAGCCCGATAATACAAGAGAATATTCCTCCAGTATTATTATGAGTTATTCAAGTGTTATTGTGGTGATATTGATGCGTTATTGTTTTATTATAACACCGGAAATATTGCTAAAATACAATAACACATGAATAACATTATAATAACACCTGAATAATGTTGAATAACACAAGAAAAATATTCCCCTGTGCCAAAACAATTTGTTTTTATTTTTCTGTCACCTCCAAGTACTTGCATATCAGTGAACTTTAAACGTAGCTCTACGTTAAGAGCCCTGATGTAATATTTTTCCCAAACACCAGGGCTTGTTGGAGCACCTGTTCCCGAACCCAATTCTTATGTATTTACATATCTAAAGCCACTTTAATGTGATATGAATTGGGGGGGGTTTATGATAGTAGGCAAAACAAATAAGATATTTCCAAAACAACATCTAATATGAAGAAAATTTTCATTTTATTGGTTGCAATATATATATATATATATATATATATTGCATTACACTCATCTCTGACCAAATGTAAAAAATTAAAAATTCATCCAAGGCTCATAATATAAATCAACGAAGCAGACAGACAACTCACATATTATTGCTGCTAATAAGCTTCGTATCTACAAAATTTCAGGATAAATTGTCAGAGAATAACAATCAAAATTAAACATATTTATACAACTTCCAAATATAAATGGGTATTACAGCATGTCTGAATCTGAATTGGACGTGAATATTATAAATATTTTCGAAGGCTGAAAAATGAATGGCAGTGTCTTCATATATATATATATATATAATACAATATGGTGCGAATTCTGGGGGTTATTATGAGCTCAGCCATGGGAAAACATTAGGAGATGATTGCAGCCGAGCTGTTAGAACCTCAACACCTGTCTCCGTCACCTGAGAAAACATTTATAAAATTTAGGGGCATTTCTATACATAGCCACTCAATTTCTAACATTTAGGGGCATTTACATGCATATCACACAATTCGAACATGTTTAAGTGCTGATTTACAAAAACATGTTTGCCTATTTGATAAAGGTATGATAGTTTTTAAGAACACTCAAGAAGCTAAAAGTTATTATGAGTGTTCTCCAAATGGAAAAATATCATATTTAAAGAACAAAAAATAAAATTGATCCCAAACAAGCTCTTACCGCCCCATAAAACATACTGTAACAATCATGGCGGTCTATTGTGTTGTTAGCAAGTTCATGATGATAGGTTTAGATGGCCATCATCCCAGACTTTAACAGAGTTTCAAATGCACATAATTGGAACCATTAGTGAACAAACTACATTGAGATCACAGAAAACCTAGAGATCATTTTAAAGAGATTGATTTTGGAGAGGATCATGACGAGTAACATGACTAAGATCATGCATGAAAGAGATGATGGAGTTCGACATGATCAATGTTATGGTAAATCGACTCCCTACGTTTTCGCGGTTCGCATGTTCCTATTGCTTTTCTTGAGATGAAATCTAAATTTGAAGATTTTTTGGTTCCTATTCCATGAGGGATCAAGAGAGTGTTAAACGTGATGAGGCTAAACTTGTTAGTGTTGCCAAGGAGTTTTGCTAAGAGTACTATGTTAAGAGAAAAAATCTTAGATATGGAACTAATTATAAGTTCAGAATACTTGAGCAAATCATCATTACGAGGTAAATGATCAGAGCTATTAAGGAATGCTTAAATTAATTAGGTGTGATCTACGAGAAGAAATACGAGTAATAACATCTAGGTTTGTGAATGACATTTGTACTAAAATTAAGACAAAACTACTTTGCTTTGAACGAATGAATATTGATAAGCTCGGCATCTAGAAGTGAAGGGGCAGCTTTGTATTTCCCTTAAAAATAATGCCAATCTGTTAACACTAATAGAATCCTCTCGGTCTATAAAGTTAAGCATTGTAGATCCTCAAGCTTAGCCTGCACCAACCACAAAAAATGATCAATCCACTGTTACACAAACTACTAAGGTTGGCTATAATCTGTGTCAAGGCAAAGATGTTGAGGGTTTGATTTCCTTATAAAATTATGACTTGAGCAAGAATCTGATAAACTTTTAGATTCTAACGATGAATGTATTAAAGAAATTGAGGATAATGAGCTCCATTCTGATGACAATTTGAACGTTGTAAATTAACAGTAGGGAAGTTAACAGACGTTTCAAAAGGAGGTAGTCAAGAAATAGGGAGAAAGAAAGGTTTCAAAATCCATGAGATGAAGAAGATAGCTACGTGAGAGGAAGTAAATAATAAAAATTTATTACCAGGAGAGCAAGATAGGAAAATGGAGACTTGCTTTGAGGTAAAAACTGATGGAAAGACAAATAATAAAAGCGTGAAATGCAATACAATCAAAAAGAAAATGTCATTAATTACGAGAATATTTTGATCAAATACTTTTATTTTTTTGATAAAATTTGGCATGTATTAACTCAGGCAAACATTTGAGACTAGAGTGACGTAGAAAAAAAATATAACGATAGGCACTAAAAAAGAAATGCATATTAAAATAAGCTCATGCATATAGAAAGAAAAATTATCATAATAGTCACTCACCAAAAGAGTGTGCTCAAATTGAGCACTTCTTTTACCATCTGAAGTGACTGCAGTCCATCCGTCGGGCCACAATCGATCACGCCAAACTCCTATATTAGATAAAAGTTTTAATTATTATGCAAATATAATGTTTAAATATAAAATATTTTATCATTTAAATCGATACTCACCAGCATTAATCATGGGCTCAATTGAAAATGTTTGTCCAGCTTTCATTAAGCCAACTGCTTTGTTTCCTATATTCGGTCAAGGAAAGCAACCGACATGACAGGACATTATACAAGATGGCTGCTTATTTAATATATATTCCGCCGACTTATATAGAATGAAAGCATAATTAACTAATAATGCCCCCATTTAGATCTGCTTTATCTTCGAAATGTAATGCTGATGAATCCAAGGCAAAATTAATTGTAACTTGCAAGGAAGCAACTGACAAAAACTAATTTGCACAAAATTAACACTAAGTAGCATATATCAAGAATGAAATAAGTAAGAAAAACAACGGGAACTAGTCAAGGAATAAAGTTTGGAACATATCAAAACTTGAAATCAAATGTGACAGATATCTGGCACACTTTTGAAGTGATTTTAGTTCAGGGCTGACAATAATAAATACATTTTACGCTAAGAACTTCGTTGAAGTAAAACACAAGGCACAAATTTTTAACAATCCATCATAAACTTTGAATGAGAAAAATTTAAATTTTCTTAAGATCATTGGTAATACAAAAAAAAAAAAGATAAAATAAAATCATCTTTTAGCTGCTTCAAATCTTAACTACTTAAATCTTGCGATGGATAGTGACAAATGCAAGATAAGAGACTCCATCATTCTAAATGTATATTAGTCTATATCTCTATGATAATAATAATAATAATAATGATAGTAATAATAATAATAGTAATAGCAATGATAGTTTAGATAATAATAATAATGATAATATTAATTATTATTAAAGATTAAGATAAGTAATCTGGACTTTCAAGTTGCATGTTACATGTTTGAAAAGCCAAAACAAAACCGCAGAAAAGTTTCTATACATAAAGAAATATAATATACACACAAGCACATTTTAAAACAGAACTCAGCGGATGAGGATGACTCTTTTAAGTTAATTTATCTTGCAACTGACAAGGATACTAGCATAATGAGGGATATTAGGAGCACAATGAAACAGCTCTCCAATACCATGACCGCAGTATGATTTCACCTGCACATCATGATTCATACACATTTAATCAGAAGGATGAACTTTTGGTGTATTTAAGAAAACAAATGTCATCTTATAAAAGCACTTACCACAGAGAACCCAGATATTGATGCATGTCGGTTGATGACTTCACCAACCTCACGAAAGCGAACTCCAGGTTTAACTGATCAACAAAAACTTTTCTTAACTTTTTGACATTCTACAATATATACAAGACTGTAAATCTCATTAACACAAAACAACCACTGCTCATTTCCAAAACAAAGGCATACCAAAAAAAAAAAAAGGGTGGGGGGAAGCCTTACATGCATACCACTCAGTTCTTATATAATTACATATCTAACATCTAAACTTCAATTTTTACATACAAGAAACCTTACCTATACATGAAAAGATGTATTTCAGTTTTTAAAAGTTAAAAATGGCGGTATTTTTTATGTAATGTGAAAGATTTTGGTGGTATAAATGTAAAAAAACAAAGTTTTGGTGTTAGATTTGTAAAATACAAGAATTTGGTTGTATACACGTAAATCACGTAAATCCTCCCCCC